AGACCTGACCCCATAACCTCCTCTCCAGCTGAGGTCTCGGGTATCTCATTAGTTAGCTGAGGGTCACGGTTTCTCATTTGGATAATTGGGAATACATGAGACCACATTCCCTAAAGCATTCCGAAGCCTCGAGGTGCCATAATACAAAACAAGCTGTGTGGAACCCTCATTATTCCCCATATCATAGCCCACTTGAGCTGGCCACGAGCCACCTCTTCCCCAGTTTATCCAGAGCCATCATGGAACACAGGTGCAACTGAGTGTCCGGCATCGGCTCTGACTAACCTCACAGAACCCCTTCTGACAATCGCTACTAATGATGACATCTTTCTTCTTGACTTCTGTGGGTCTTCTGGGACCCAATTCATTTGTATACAGGAAATGAGTGTTTGTCCTGTGTTCTCTGTTGATAGCTTAAATCACAGCCTTTGGTCAACTGCTTTATGTTCAGTGACGTCTCTGTAAGAAATGTGCTATGGGCAATGCTGTCTGCTTCTCTTTTTAAATTATCTTTGCCACACGTGGCACCAACTTCAGCTCTACACATCTACTGTCTTTTGAAGAACGTTTGGGTTACATTAAGTAGGGAGCATGCCTACTTCTACAACATAACAGTTTATATCCTTCTTCCTTTCACATGCTGTGCTTTTAGCCAACACATTGAATTATGCTTTATACCATGAGTTTATCTTCAATTAATTTCCAGGCTTATGATAATTGACTAATGGTTCTCCCATAGTTGGCTGCAGGAAAATAATCACAAAATTATGAAAACGAAAATGCTAATGAGCAAAAGAAGTGTTACAAAAAATATTTATTCTTTCTTTTTATATGTACTTCAGTGTCAATAGAAGTAAAGTAAGGTAGTCTTCATTTTTATGAAAAATTCTCTTTGTGCTCAAAGAGCCAGGTCTGTGCTGGTCACCATCTGGTGACTTGCTATTGGGCCAGTTCATTAATCTTTCTCAATGTAAATTTTCCCATCTTCAAGTGGATATAGATAAGAAAATTGTCTCTCAGAGATTTAGGGAAAATAAACATGGTCCATTTTAATCTCTCTCAATGTGAGGGAATATTACATACAGTAAGGCCAATAAAAGATAATTATTTTATTATGTAGCCTGAGATTTCTCGCTATCATTGCATACTTACCTAATAATGCAATATACAGCAATTAATTTTCTTGGTGCTAGAACACTATACTCAACACCCACAAATCAAAGGAAAGAGTTTTAATGTGGCTCACGGTTTCAGTGGACTCCATCCATGGTCAGCTGGCTCCCAGGCAGGAAGGTCATGGCAGAGGGCCACTGTGGAGCCAAGTGCTTAGTTCATGGCAGCTGGAAAGCAGGGCAGGAAACCAGCACCAGCGAGGATGGGCGTGAGGTGCACACGTAGACCCCAAAGCCACACCTCCGTGACCTACACTGACCTGGAAAAGGGCTCCAGCAATCCCCCAGGCAGATTCCGAAGCCAATCACGTGGACACTGCACTCTAATGCCACATTCCAGCAGGAGTTGTCATTTAATTTCACTATCTGATGTTACTCAGTAGTTATCAACTCAAAGACTTGATTAGATAAGTACTACTATGGTTACTAGCTATTACCAAAACTTGTTAAAATGAAACAAAAGTATGCCAAGATCACAGTCAAGGTAAACTATTAATTATATCTGCATATTAATGAAAATTTAACATTTATGCTAATATATATGCTAATATACAATACTGGTATAATTTAGTATGTAATAACATATAAACATTTTGTTGTCATATCATTAACAAACACCAGGTTTTCCTTTGAAACCTTGTAGATGCCAATAATGTAATAATGCTAATAATTTCTGTATGATAGATACCTACATTCAGTTGGGCACTGGACAGAATACACATAAATACTGTGTGTTATACTAACTTCCAAAGGGCTGTGTCTGTCTGGTGTTAGGGCTTCATATCTCAATGAAAACACCTCCCTGGAGAGTGGAACACAGGTCGGGTGTCTGAGAAGCTGAGCTGCCATTGGGCAGGCTTCTCAAACTTGCACCCTGCTCTGCACCTGCTCTGTGATGCACGGTGACTGAGGACACACTGAATGAGAGTGGGGAGTAAAGGTATCTTTCATCCCAGTGCACCTCATTCTGGGCTCATCTGAGGTCTCTACCAGTGCCCAGGGAGGTACACTGATGGAGCTGGTCACTCAGGTACCTGGACATATGTGCCTCAGGGTTCAGACAGGGACGCAGGGTGTCCCAGAGCCATCATGCTCACTCCTGGCCCTGCCCTTTGTGGAGGACGCAGGAGCCCAGAAAGACTGAGCAGGGCACAGATGCACCAAAGAAGTGGCTGTGTGTGATCCAGGCCCTTCCTCTATGACTGTGGCCCCATCCACCAAACCAGCCCAGAGTTTTAGGAACACCTCTCAGTGGGGATTTTGAGGTTGTCAGCTGACTCTCTTTGCTGAGATGAAATGAAGGTTTGTTGATGTACTCAAAAACAAGGGCCTGTGAGTTTCAAAGCAGCACCGAGCAAACCTTTGTTTCAAATTAAGTTTTAAAATGGCAGATGAGCCAAGAATGATACAACCTGTGTGTATGAACATGAAACCTCAGCTCTCCTTTATTGATTAGCTCAGGTTCTTACACTTTTCACAAAGAGGTCTTTTACTGGTAAATAACATTTCATTAGCACACTGCCAATTTTAACAAGCTGGAGCCTTGAGAAGCAGCTGCCACCCAGGGATAGTAATTAAAGACATGAGAGCAAACACCAGAACTGAAACTTGAAACCGCTCCAGAATCAGGCAGTCAGTACCGCCTTTGATCCAGCAGCTCTGGGAGGGGGGACCAGCATCCTCCTCTCACAGCAGGAGACAGAGACTCCCAACTATCCCCTCACTTGACACCCAGCTCCAAACTGGAAAAAGATGATCACTTCAAGACTCAAGATCAACAAATTAGCTATGCTTACAGCTACTATCTTGATAAAAGACCTCCTCCAAAAACAAACAACTTAGAGGCTGAAGATTTACAAACTCAGCTAGAATATAAACATCAAATATGTTGCTTTAGGCAAACAGCTATGGCTTTAAAATAAACCTCTCAGCAATTTAATGGATAGAATTCATCTTCCAAGCCATCCAAAGAGAGCAGGTCATGTCCCTCCACGGGCTTGGGCTGCACTTGCTGAAGAAGGCAGAAAGCTGGGTATGCGGGGCACCAGGTGAGTGGGAACAGGAGTGCTGCTTCTCCCGGGAAGGGGCAGGTGGACCATTCCCTAACACCTGCCCGGACACCCTAACACCTGCCCGGACACCCTAACACCTGCCCAGACACCCTAACACCTGCCTGAGGAGGACTGCTAGGATGTCAAGCTTGGCGGAAGAACAAAAGCAAATACAAATCACCACAGTACCTAGAATATGAATCTCCTTGAAGATATCAATAGCATGTTTCTAGATTTGAAAGCCAAAGTTACATTTGTTTCATAAACTGCTTCCTGTAACAAAGTAACAAATGCACCGACTTTCAGGAAGTCCTTCAAACTGTACATTTGTGTCACAGATGGATGTAACACACACAAAATATCTAGGAGATACACTATACTTTTAGCTTAATATACTTTCCTTTCATTAGCCCGCTTTTAATATAATCACAGAAGACAACGCCAGATAGGAAAGTGCATGAAGTGCATTACTTTCTAAATTGTTCTGATCACAGTGTTTAGAATCTCAGCTACAAGGTCAACTCAGGTCACCTTCCCTGTGGTATGTACTCTGCACACTGGATTTTTCATGGTCCAAAGTTAGTTCAGAATCATCTGGAAAGAACTGTCTCTAGGACCAGTAATATTCAACCAGAGTTACTATGGTAACTTCGTTAGCTTGGAAGGGGAAATTATATTTGCAAATTCCAGTACACGTACTCCATAGGTCTGGGATAAGACATAGTCCAGCACCTCATAACTCATGCACTTCTCAAAACCTTCACAGGCTTCACAGCAGCACAGAGACACCCTGGCTCGGCCTCCGAAACGAAGGGAGGGATGCTCTCTGCACAGTCCAACCACAGAGGCCAGCAGGAGATCCTGAACTTCCCCACCATGCGCTCTTGCTCTTCCCTGCTCTGCACTGGGGAGCTGGTGCCCAGCAAGGCGAGTGAGGTGAGTGCCCCGCAGGTGCCAGGGCTCTGCCATCCTCAGAGGAGAATGTGGACAAGGAATAATGGGGTTGGAGAAAAGAGCTCGCAGAAGTGAATTTTCCTTTGACTGTTTCAAGTGTTAAAAGAAATATGACCACTAAGGTGGGAGAAAAGCTGAATCGCAAACTGTCTTGTCTTCCCTCTGATTTGGCACCAAACTGTTCCAGCAATGGCCCTACAGGTCCTCTGTCCCCGGAATGTGTGGGATTCATCCTTGTCCTGGCTTTGGCAGGAGCCAGGCTTAGGACATCACCCCCTTTCACAAACCAAAGTGGAGATTAGAGTTAGTTGGCTGAAGTGGTTGTCATAGCTCAGAACTCAGAACTGGAGAAGTCCTGGGCAGTTTATGCCATACATGAACATTCGATCCAAGTATCCCGAATTTTCAGGGTTCCACACAGGCCTTTCCACTGACCAGAGAAGCTTGTGTAATGTGCAGCTTCTTGTGCACGCAGAGCACCTGGTACCTGGACCTGGACATGCTGTGTCCACACAGTAGGAAAATGTTCAGAACACAGTGTCTGCCGACAGTCAGTGACCGTAGCACCTAGCATCCTGAGTGCACCTAGCATCTACAGCCAGCCAGCACCTGCACACGTGGGGTCCGCGGAGCATTTAAGATTTGCAGAGCATCAAGGGGGTGCAGAAGACCTTGTGCACATGGTAAAACAAACATGCCTACAGTATCTAGCGTGTGCGGGGTGTCTTGTGGATCAAGAATGCCTAGTGTGTGCTGAGCACTTTGTGGCTGTCAAACTCGGACAGCTGGACCACGGGCTGGCTGACAGGAAGCGGCTACTTACCACGTTGCAGCCTGCGCAGTCCGGTCCGTTCTCACAGGTCCTTCGGCGAGCCTGAATGCCACCCCCACACTGGGCAGTGCACCTTTCCCAAGGCCCCCAGCCCGTCCAGAACACGTGCGGGGGACAGAGCAGATGTTCATTGCAGTACCTGTAACAGGGAAACCGAGAGGAGGGGAAATCGTTCAGTGTCACGTGAAGCCACGGGCCTGTCCACACTCTGTCCCTGAACCAGATGTGGGAAACATGGGCATGCTCTGCGCGAGGAGGGGCTTTCTGTGTTTGGAGAGGTGGCACCGGACGGGAGGCAGATGTGGCGCTGGCCATGCTGTGTGGGCACAGACAATGGGATGCACGGCAGACAGTGAAGAAAATGCTGAACTCACAATGCAGGATGGATCTTCCTGGGCAGCCAATTAAAGGAGAAACGAGACAAAACAAAACCCTTCATATAGACGCCCAGAAATAAGAGGCACAGAAAACATCCAGGTAGGGCATTTATCTTCTAAACATGAACAGTGAAAGAGAAAGTGCGTTACACACACAGAGTCAGCAAGGCTTTCTGCAGAGTTCCCTGCTCATTCTTGAATTAAATGAGTTCCACCATTGTCTTAGGATAAATTAAAGAAAAGTTAAAGCTTGAGTTGGCGATGCCTCTGACTGCTTAAATTATGGTACCTTTAAGTTTATTTTTAGGCTCTCAGAATGATGCCAAATGACCTTGCATTAAAAGGCCCCTGGTTATTTTTCCAAAATGGAATTAACAATTTCACAAACACTAGTGCTGTGCTGCAGAAGTATACTCTGCACATCTATACATGCATCCATTTCGCCAGTTTTTAGTCAAAACCCCAAAGCCTCCTTCAGCTCTACGCTGAGCCACATTTCTCTGTTATCTTCTATACCACAAGTGAAATAGTGAAGTGAAAAAAACAAACAAGAAAAATAACAGGCTGGCGTTTTTCAGCCCCAGCACATGGTGGAGGACGTTATTCTGAATACAGCCAGATTCTCTGCAACACAGCAGGTGATTTAAAGGACTATTTCAGTTCAGCCATCTACCTACTGATCCCAGATTTAGCTTCTGAGAATATCACAATGCAGCATTTCTCTTGGGAGGTCTCTCGCCCTCGCCAGGTCACTAGACTCAAAAAAGCAAAGCCTCAAATCATCGGGCCTAAATCAGTCATTTTTGTCAATGTTATTCACAACAGCTTTGTCCTGCAGAGGGAATCGCTGAGTGTTTCCTGGTCACAGGGGTCTGCAGCCTCAGACAGACACAGGAAGTGAACACAGGTCAGTAATGTGGGACAGAGCAAATCTGTCCTTACACATCGCTTAAATATACAGGGACTCACATCGCTTAATATACAGAGAGAGACGCTACGCTTACCACAGGCCATGGGAAGCAGAATTCAGGAGGAAAAATGAGGGCTGATGGTAAAGAGAACAAGGAAAGGCTTTGGGAAGCGTAGCTCCCTGACGAGAAGGTTGGTAAGTCCAGCCACTTTTCCAGCAAACCGGAAACCACAGAGACGCCAAGGCTCTGAGGATGGAGTGCAAGTCACGGAGGACAGCGGAGCAAGGGGAAGGGGCCGGTGGGTGGGCGACAGCACCTGCTGTGTTCTAGAAGGTAAGGAAAGGAGGAAGTGGACAGCCAGGTGAGAAGTGTGGTGGGGACAAAAAGGGGACCGGAAGTGGGTTGGTCACCTTATGAATAGCGGGAGAGCCTGGATTTCATTTGTACGGAGGCAGAGGTCCCTCTGCCTCAGGATAGTCACTGTGAGCCTGGAGCCCCGCCTCGGGCTGAGGTCGCCTCGCAGTGGTGGCAGCCAGGAGCCACGAGCCTGGAGGAGCTCCCTGAACTCAGTACAGGGGATACGTTCCGAAGACGGGGAGGTCACAGCAGGAGGAACAGAGGGGACTGACCAAGCACGGGCTCTGGACAGATGATACAGATAACAGAGAGACTTTCCTGGAAGGTGTGCTGGTGACAGGGAGAGAAAGGAGCAGGACTCCGTGGGGCTGGGGAGATGGGACAAGAGTCAGGCTGCAGCTGAGGGCAGGAGGCAGTGCTACCTCCAGGGGGAGGAGGCTGAAGCCCTGCAGCTTCCAGAGCTGCCGCAGAAGCAGTTTAGCTCAGAGTCCAGTGGCTCTGAAGTCCCACAGGTGAGTAGCCGAGGCACATGGATAGGTTCTGTTCTGCATCTTAGCAGTGCTGGGACACTAGGAATCAGTGCTGGGATGCCAGGTCTCCCTCTTGAGGTAGCAGCACAGTGCGAGCTCTGCACTGCGAAGGTGCCCTAAGGAGAGAGAGGAGAAGGCTTCTACCCAGGAGAGCAGAACCTGGTCTGGAACCGAAAGAGGCAAGAGCAAAGTGGGATCCAATTGACTGAAAGCCTTTGCCTTAGCCTGCACAGGCGTGCAGAGGTCCAGTGGGTAAATACTAACTGACGTGTTGGTACAGGGAGGAACCCAAAAGGAAACTGTGTGATTTCAGGAAATTGAGAAAACTCAGAGTATCAGAAATCTGTGTACTTAATTCAAAATATATGCATGTAGTTCACTGTACGTGGAAGAAAAAAAATAAAAGGTCATCTGCCTTTTTGAGTGGATTCAGATATTTGAAAGGATGGACTGTCTTAGATTCCTTCACCCTAATCTTAGTTTTCACCACACCACACACACACACACACACACACACACAGAGCAGAGAACACAAAGGAAAGTCTTACCAAAAATGCTTACAAAACCCTCAACTTTTAATTAAAAACCATAACAACTGAGCTACAGGATCCCCAGAGCAAAATAAATGGCAGGGTATGAATATTTTGTCACTTTTACCTACAGCCACTTCGGCATGCTGTAGGTGACATTCTACTGCAGGGTAACCTGGACAAGCAGCCTTCACCCTGCAACGTTTACCCAGAATTAACAAGTCAGCACTTGGGCTACATCTTGAGGTCATCAATAACTTGCCTTCCTGTGTTTCCTCTTCCTCTACAGCAGCCCTGGAAAACAAGCCAGCCTAGGGCTCTGAGAAACATCACCATCTAGAACATGAGGGAGGTCAGAGGGAAAGAAATGGCTCAGTTCTCTCTTCCCTTCGAGTCCAGATTTTCATTCAGGAGTCCGGCCTGGAAGAGGCTGCCCAGGGCAAACTCCTCCCAGCGCCTCAGTCTGGAGTCTCTCAGCGCTATGAGAAAGGAGCTTCTTTCGGACGCCCTCTTTAGGCCCACTGCCCTGGCTCACACTCCTGTGAGCAGCCCCTCTCATTAGACTGTGGGATGTGTGACCTTGCCTGCCCCCTCTGCTTGGCATTTGTGGGGTGGGGAGGGGTACAATGGCTCCAAGAGGGGCCAGCACTTGGCTCCTGCCACCTCCTGTCCTCACCACACAGATCATTTTTACAACTAAGGAGCTAAACATTTAAAATGAATGGCTCTGCTGGGTGTCAACTTTTTTAAAACACTGAAAACCACGGATGCATTTCATTCATTAAGATTTTAATTTTGCCCATGACTGCTTCTTCTCATTCTGTATTAAAAAATCAAACTAATGACCTAGCATTGGTTCTCTATAAATTATTCCCTTTTCCATAAACCTCGTCTCTGAAAAAAATGGCTTTTCAAAGATCCCATTCTACCTAGATTCTCAACAACGCTCTGTCTCTATCTCTCTCTCTCCGACTTTGTCTCTCTGTCTCTGTCTCTCTCTTGCTGTCTCTCTGTCTCTCCCTTTCCCTCTCTTTCTCTCTCACTCTCCCTCCCTCCCTCCCTGGGCAGCACTAGGCTTTGAACCCAGGGTCCCATGGATGTTAAGCAAGTACTTTACGGCTACGCTACACCCCCAGCTCACAATTCATGTGTCTTTATGCTCGAAACGTTTTCCCTTCTGTTTTTTCACTTCTGAGTTCCTCAGTGAGCCAATTAGGACTCTCTCAAGGGCAGCTTTCTCTTTGGTTCACCCCTTTACTGGGCAGTACTGGGAAATACACAGTTTTTATGGTAATAAGAGACTGTGCATACATCAATCCACTGTGATACTGATGAAAACACATCAGAGGAGAATAATCACTTACACAGAGCACAACTTTTGCTCATCACAGGATGAAGCAAACATACTGAAATGACAAAAATAACCACAGTCAATCCCTGATGGTTCCTGCGACCCCTCAGTTCACAAATGCGCTGGGCAGGCTCTAATGTGTCCCCCTGGGTCCCCACCTCCTGGTGGGATCCCACACTTTGGGGAATTCCACCTCAATGAGTATACATGAGACTTGGCATGGGCTCCAAATCAATAGAATAAATCAAAGACGGGGGACATCACTTCTGCGATCATATCTCAAGACAGTGCTTCTCCTACTTCAAGAAAACTCTCTTGTGTAGTGAGCAAACAGTACAGTGAGGAAGTCTCAGGGTTCAGGACTTGACGGTGGCCTGGGGCTAATGGCCAGCAAGGACTGAGGCTGCCAATGACCACGTGAAGGGAGAGATTCTCTCCCACTGAGCCCCAGACGAGGTCACAGCCAACGCCTGCCCTGCACTGCAGCCTTGCACCAGCCTACGGCCCAGTGGAGCTGGGTCCAGGCTGTGAGCCTGCAGAAGCCACCAGCAAATCATCGCATGGTGCTTTAAATAGCTGCGCTCTGGTGACTGTCACAGGACCAGGGCTAAAACAGGTTCGGGACCATGAAGTATGGTGCTAATGTAAGAAATCCCTAAAACATCAAAGTGCTCTGGCTGCCAGGGATGAAGAGAAGCAAGCATTCTGAGAAGCGTAGTAGAGAAGACTTAAACAGAGAATATTAGTGGGATTTATTCTGGCCTTTGAGGGCACAGCCAGTGAAAGTTTAGAAGGAAACAGGATAAAAACTGCAACAGCAACACAAAAGACGACCAGATCAGAAAACCAGTGAAGAACTTCAGTAGACTTTTTCTCTCAAATAAAACTGACAATTAGCCCGGGTGAACATGGGCACCAACATTTAGACGTAAAGGACATTCCATCAAAAACACAGTGAGAACCACTTAACACCTTCTACAACGGCTACAAACGAATACAAGAGCATAAGAATCCAGAGAATGCAGGAAACTAGAGCTCTCACATGCCCATCTCCTGTAGCCTTGTGCCGGGCTGAGGCTACAGAAAAACATGATCTTGAGGCTTTTATAGGTAAATGGAGGCAACTTGAGACTATACTCACAACTGAAATAAATCAGACTCACATTTATAAATATATTGTCTCCCTAGTGTAAAAATAATAATAATAAACTGAAAGAGTAATAAGACCCAAAATATACAACGGATACTGTAATGATGAAGGGAATAGAAAGTGCTCAAAAGGAAAGAACAACTAGGGTGGGGGACAGGAGAAAAGGAAGAAGGGAAAAGATGTAGGTGTACACACATAACTGTAGGAATGCATATGTGTGCAAGAGAGGTAACTATACTATTAATCTGTTAGTGCATCAAAAAGAACAGTTTTGCTGTCATAGTTTGAGTATTTTTTATGTCTAGATCCTGTAACCTGAACAACTAATTCTAAGATAAAAATATGCAATATATTAACTAGTGTTGATTTCTTACTGTGTTTTTTGAAATTCTGAATTACTTCTTTTTTTTTTTTGTTTTTCTTTTTTTAAAATAAGAAAACTTTTTTAAAAAAGAAAGTCCAATACAAGCTACTGCACTGATGAATCTTGAAAACATTATGGCTACTATAACACGAGAAGTAGAACATGTAAGTCTAAAGTGAATTACAGAGCTAAGGTAGTTTTCAAGAAATGTGTTGAAGGTATTGCCTGATTTCTTCTTGCTGGCTACAGTAAGACACAAGAATAAAGAGCAAAACTGAAGGTCAACTTTTAAACAAAAGGAACAGGGGCTGGATTATGTTGGGAACTGACTTCTTCTGATAGCAAAAGATGTTAAAATTTAGAAACATCTTCCGAGTGCTGTTAGGAGAAGCTGGCATAGAATAAAAGCAGAGGGTAAGGTTATAAAATATCTTGTTTAAACTTTAGGAAGACAAGAGTCTAAGAGCAATCTGCGGGTATCCAAGGTCCCTCCAAGGGTCCAGAGCAAGTGTGCTCCCACGTCCTCTCCAGCACAGCACAGGGCCCCACAGAGAGGAGACTGCTCAACCACGCCTGCAGGACCCTAAGGCAGAGAGGAGTGGGCTAGACAGAGCTGTGAGCGCGCCTTCTCTCAGCGGAATTCAAAAGGAGATCAAAACATGTGTGAATGTTCAAATTAAAAAAAAAAAAAAATCTCCTAGTTACAAAAAACATTGCCATTAATCCTCCTCGAAGCATCCTCCCTTGCGTGGAGCACACTTGGTCCATCATTCTGGCCACCTTCTGGACACGGTTCCGGAAATCATTTGTACATTTTTTCTGCTTGCCTCAATGTCTTAAATCAATTCAAATTATTTACACCAATTTCTGTCAAAGTAAAACATTACTGTGTGGGCTTGTGCACCTTATTCACCGGATCTGGCACACTGTGACCTCTGGCTCTGCCCCAAGACAGAGGGGCCAGGGACTGTAAAGGATTCAAAGGAATTCAAGACATCAAGGCAGCCACGACAATGCAACAAAAGACACCTAAGGATCCCAGAGAAATCTGTGTATTTCAGTAAAAATACTACAAGCTTAGACTAAAAGACACAGAGAAAGTACAAACTAAAGGCTGCTGGAAAGTCAGTATCTTAATGCAGGAAGAAGCTGTACAGGCAGGTGAGACCATCTACCTGCTAGCACATGGCTGCCTGCTGCTTTGTGACAAAGGAAGGCTGATTCAGGAAGCAGAGCTAAGAGCTCCGGAGACCCCAGGGCCACAGGGCGTGATGGCCAGACCTTAATCAAGCAGCTCTGACACTCCCCTGGCTAGATTTCACCATTTCTAAGAATCGGCCATTCTCTAGTCATTTCTCCTCTCCCTGTTTCTGTCTCTCGATGTCAGCCTTTTCCTGCCTGAGTGCTGGTGACTGATAAACCTGTCTCTTGTTTTAGGGGTGACAACCAAGAGGTGCTGCACCCCGGAGCTGCCCCACATCTAAGCCCGATGTAAATGGCAGGATTCCGGGCCACGGCAAGAAAAGGGATTTTGCTTGTGGGAGACACGAGTGACTAGGAAACACAGAATCATCAGTGACAGACAGGACTGTAGTGTGACCCCATTGATGTACACCCCTGGTATCCACATCCTGTGTAAACTCCTCCTACTAGGTGTGGGCACGGCCAAGAAGTGATTTCTAAGTCACAGAACATGGAATATTTGACAAGAAACTGGCAAAATGCCTGGCTAAAAATCATGAAATCTTGGTTTCAATTGCTTAATACGGTCACTCCAAATGCTGACAGCAACCATGTGACCTTGGAAGAGATCTTTCCCTGACCAGCACCAGATGCGACCAGCTGCAGCCTTGACTGCTATCTGCTGAGTCCTGAGCAGAGGCGTCAGTGGCCCCACAGGACATGTGACCATGAAGACGGTAAGACAGTAAAAGCACACTGCTCCAGACTGTGGAGCTTCCGTTACACAGCAGGGGAAAAAACGAGCCAGATCATCAGATTTGCACCTGGAGGATACTGACACCGCCGGCCAGTTCTTCCTGCCACCTTGCTCAGAGCCCAAGGAGAGTGGGCATTTCTACTCAATCCTTGTTACTGAAGAAAATTGTTTTCAAGGAAATGTTAAAAAAGAGAAGTAGTGTCATGCTTTGGAAAATACATATGCAAATTAAATGAGACAGTCTCTTATTTCGGGGGAGAAGTATAATGTGAAATTTTGAGATTTTTCTTGCAAATAAGCTCCCACTGAATTATCCCATTTTCCCAGATGAAGTCGTTAACTATAATTCTAGCATGAACTCAGGGATGGTGTTGGAGAATCATTTCATTCCCTTGCGATCACACAGAACTTCTTTAGGTCTGATGACATTTCAATAACCAGGATGTGCTTAACCATTTCCTATCAAGGTTTCATTTAATTCTCAACTATGCTCACTGTCAGAATCAAGAGGGTTTTTCTTTCGTATGACTTAAGTGGAAAGTCTTCCCATAAGCATAGCAAGGGATGTAAAATGCTTTTTCTTTTGAAAACCAAGTTCTGGTAAAGTGAAGGTTTTGGTAAACCTGTTGGTAAACCTTCAAAAGGTAACTGAGTAGAGGCATCAATATAGAATTTTATACGGTCCTCATTCTTAGCGTTCATCCTGTTTTACTCCAAATTTCCTCCATTAACACATACATAAACTTGTCCTCTGTAAATAAGGAACATTGCAGGTATAAAAATTCTCCAAATGCAATAGCCATCTTTTCTCCAAATCTCTTTCTGGCAGTGTACAAGCCTGCGTGGACACAGAGCGTGGGTGTGCACTTCAGCTGAGCAGCTCCTCCCTTGTGCTCAGGCTGGGAGACAGGGTGACACCTGTCAGGCTTGTGACAGTGCCCAAGTGATTCAGCCCAAGTGGGCTGCATGACAGCTTTCAGCATTTAAAAACTTCTGACCGATTTTAAATCTTGCATGGCTTGGAAACGGCAAGGAGATAGTTCTTCTCTAATTGGCTTCCCACTTATCAAACGGTGTGAGATGGGAAATGACAGCCCGAATAAGGCTGTCCCAGGGGACCACTTCAACACGACAAACTCTGCATGTAAAAACCATCTTCCTTTCCCTAGTCATTGAAAGGAATAAAGTCTTAACAGGGAAATGAGAAACACAGTGAAGAAAAGAAAGGAAATGCTCAGCCTGGTTGATTTCAGGTTGTAATAAATACCCACTAGTAAACTATCTGAACAATAAACTTGTTGGTTTTGTTGGTGTATTGTAGGTGCCACCAGCATCACAAAGAACTGCATATGGCATTTTTAGAAAAGACTCTTTTAAACTCATCGCCAAACAAATCTACAACCTTTCTGTTAAAGAGCAGTGAACGCCATTCAGTAAGTCGATGTCAGTAAGGCAGACATTGAATTCTGAAAGCTTTGTGGAAATACACCTCCTTGGATTTTCCCCCCCACAGTGTAAACTAACCAGCCAAGAAAGTCAGTGATCGCATGTGCAGATTCTGAGGCCCAAACCAGATGTTTGGTTCTATACAAAGAAATAGATTGTTAGGTCTAAGACTACCAGGAATGTGGCTGTGATCTGCTGAAAGGTTAAACCCACATGGGAAGGCTCTGTGGTCTACACTGCCGCTGCAGGGGGGAGCCCAGTGTGGACCTAAGCCTCACCAGGCACTGAGACCATCCTCGCCTGCACGCCACTCGTGCCGTTTAGTACTGATGGAATCCTTACCCTTCCTGCCCAGCAGCACCCAGACTTGACCTTTCCAGCCTTCCAGCAAAGTGTAGCTTCTGGTGCTATGAAGCCAAAATCGCAAGGATAATCCTTCTCTAGCAGACTCACTGTCTTCAAGAGCCTAGCACAGAGGCGCCTGCAGTCCCTGGTTCCTGGTACCTTGGAATTGCCCAGCTGAGACAATCAACAGTGGACTCCACCCAGGAGTGGTGGTGTTAAAAAGAAGAGGATTCCACTGAGTCAAAAGAGATGCCATGGACAAGGAACCTAGATACAAAACCACAGCTGACCACACTAGGATAAAAGCCTGAGGAGCTAACGCAGGTGGCCAGCGGGCACATACCTTTCCTCGCGGTTCTGGCCCACGCACACGCGGCCCCCGTGCCTCGGCGTGGGGTTGCTGCAGGACCGCTGCCGCACCTGGAAGCCAATGCCACATGTTGTGCTGCAGGGTGACCAGGAGGTCCAGGGGGTCCAGCCTCCATTCCTGGTGGAGAGAAGCAAGAGGATTTCGCTGTGACACTGGTTTGGAGTATAAGTCCTGTGTGGACCCAATGCAAATGCACAGGACCCTGGGTGGAGCCTCTGACTGAAACACCAGCTTTGGCACACAACAGACCGGGCCACTGTTGACCTCACTTTAATTACAGAGAATCCCCACACCCATCCTCTTTTCTTTCTTTCTTTCTTTTGATTTTAAAGTCAAGACAGGAAATTTGAGAATGCAATTTGATGTGTACTGTAAATCATTTAAAATGTGCTATAATCACACACTCAAAATATTTTTGTTATGAAAATGCTAAACCACTACAGAATAATACTATTTTGCAAAAAGCATTTAGAAATGAATCTCTAAGCCTCTAGAGTTTGTGGGTTTATTTGACTTGTATTATATCCATTATGATCTATGCAAAGTACACCTCTGAACAAAATCACCACCTAGTGTTACACACAGCAGGCTTTCAAAGCCACTAACAGCAGCAGCTCTCCTGATAGCACTCATTTTGATGAGGAGCTCTGTCATGTTCCAGCTTAAAAACAAACTTTGTTTAAAGGGAACGGACTATGGAAATTCAGATTCTTGGCTATTTTCTTAAGAACTGTCCAACATTACTAAGACTACAAATAAAGAGTATAAATTCTATAAATCTATATGTATGTTATTACAGAAACATAATAATGTAGATAAATGAGTGTAAAATAAAAAGAAAATAAACAAACTTTACAGTATTTATTTATAAAAGAAACCACTATTGACAGCTAGAGGAAAAGCATTTTTTTCCAGTCTGTATTCAGACTGGTTATAATTTAAATATCTTCCTTAGCAGTATTTCTGGCTATTAAAAATAAATTCTTGATATTTTAGAATTTTAGGTGTTAAAATATTCTATAAAGAGGAGACTGTTAAGTTCCCACGGAGATGGCCTGCCACACAGGGAACATTCTTCTTCTTCTGCTATCACATATGCATTCCCATGGGTACGTAGTATTTGCACCCACAAGATTCTTCACATTTTACTTGAAAAACATCAATGTATGATAAGTCTCACTTAAAATCCACAACGTCACGGAAGATACGGTTATAAGTAAGCTGAGTAGAAAACTTTAAAATAATCTGAAATAAAAATACTTCTGAGAAAATTCTTAGTATATTTCATATTTCACCATTTTATTACCATAACTTAGTGCTGTAAATAAAATATACGGTGACAGCCTTTATGCATAGCATAATAAAATTATGACAGTTTCATCAAAGTAAGAGATCCCCCGTGTTTCTCATAAAAGTAATCTGCCAGTTTCTCATACCCTTCTATTACAGATTATCCAAGTAATGAAAAGAATTAACTGAGGACTAAAGTTATTAAATAATACAGGAAAAATGCTGCTTTCAAAATTGCTTGGAAATTCTTAATTTTTGAAAGCTTTTAAAAACATAAAATTTTATGATATAGCCAACTTACAATGTGCATAATATGTTTTACCAGGACTGTAAGCAAAAAAAGGTACAAAAGTGGCATATAGTGAGGGAGTAATCAAGTACAAATGTGTGTGTGTGTGTGTGTGTGTGTGTGTGCACGTGCTAACTGTATGGACCTGGGTTTACATACTTTTAAGTATTTCACAGAGGTAGACGAGATAGATGGCAAAGAAAAAGCAGCATCCAGTAATCACCTACCATGAGCTGCATTCTAAGAATTAAGTCAGTATGAAGCAATTCTCTTGTGCATTTAGAGCACTACTAATCTCGGTTCAGTTATTAGATCTCTAATTTCATAATAATCCTTGGTTGTACTGCAAGGTTGTCTACAGAATGGGCCTCATAACTAGAGCAAGAAATGTGGATCAGACAACAAACAAGTCACAGTAATGCACTTGCTGTGTCCTTTGTACTTAAATAATATACCAAATATCAGCTATTTATTGTTGTTTTCTAATAATGAGACTCTGCCCACACCCGCGGAGGCCCCTGTTGCACAGAAAGCACACTCCGCGCGAATCCTTTTGCTCTTGTCTTCTGTCAGACAAAGCAGCTGCATCTCTGTAGCCCTCATTGGCTCCTTTCGGCTCTGTGGAGCTCCCAGTCCGAACTGCGGACAATTCTTGGGCATGAGGCCACCCCTGCCTTGGGCTCCCAGAGTGGAGCATCAGTGTGATTTTTGCCTCCCAATCACTGACTTCATAGATGACTGTTTTGGTGGCTGGTTCATTTTAATTAGGCTCAGGAAAGGAAGCTATGCTTTTTAAAATACTCTAAGTTACTAAACGAGAGAGGAGGGAGCCTGCAGTCTGAGTGCTGTGATGCTTGTGGCTAGGTCAGGGGCTGGAAAGATAAATCCAGTATAGTTGTTTAAAACAAAATGAAACAAAAACCACCTAAAAATCAAACGAGCATGACAGGCAGAAGCTGCAGGAAACTCCTTCGGTGGGTCACCTGGCTTGTAACCTCTGCTGGTCCCCCAACTCCAGCTGAGCAGGGTCTCCAATTCTGATACACTGCAGAGCACAGCAGAGCTCTCCTGGCAAGACTTGGCTTCTTCTGGTTTCCAACAAAGATGGCAGTGATGACTTTATACAAACTCCAGAAAGAGATTCCTAAGTAATGTGGACATTTCCCTCCAACAAGGCAATCGTTTTGCATAAATTAGCAGTACTGCTGTAATCTAATGAGGAACATATGAGCAGGTTTAGAGTTATTATCTCATTTGTGGTTTCACAGTTCCTTCCATAGATCCTGTAATATTTCAGGGCCGAGGGGCCTTGTCTTTCTTTGCCACTTCTGATAACAACAGGGAAGGCAGATGTTAGGAATGACGTCCTGAATCCCTGGGCACCCTGAGCCCGGCACATGAATGTGCACTGTGGTGTTCTGGGGACCCACCTGGAGCAGTTGGCGATCTCCATGCTGGGGCCCTCGCACTGCCAGCCACCACACTGTGGGGCAGGGCTGTCACAGGAGCGGGACCGACAGAGGCAGGATCCCACGGCACTGCCATCTGTGTGCGTGCAAGGCGTCCACGGTGACCAGGGGCCAAAGCGTCCATCAACAGTGAGATTCCTGGTCTAGGAAGCAGAGGGAGGAAGGTATGAGAAAGGGTTAACACAGCAGCTAAAATGGACTGAAAGTGAAAGACTGCACATGAGGCCATCAGAACCCCCCTTAGAATATTTAAAAAATTGCCTAGAAAGGGAGCTGTGAAGAAGTACTTTAGAACAGCACAGCAGAGGTCGGTGGTAGAGAAAGGGGAATGGAAGGGAACGAGGGAAGGTTACTAGGAACTTTGCAATCAGGTTTTGGCAGAATCATCCCTAAATGTTAGACATTCACAGACTTCAGAGAAAAATTATAGATGTAGAATTATGTTGCATGTTTAAATATATTTTTAAAAAATGAAATATTGGTCAAGTAGTTATTTAAAGTAGGTCTGGTTCTAATATCACGTCAACTGACAGCATTTGATTCACAGGAGTCCTGGTGCCTGCTGAGCAGCTGGAGCGCCCCAAGGTGTCCTGCAAATCCTACGGATTTCTGCATGACTTCCCTCTGAGTGAGGGTCCCTGTGCCGGGGGGAGGGGCTGGCACGCAATCATGACTCTAGTGAGTGTCCCAATAAGGACACGGGTCAGCCCCAACTGCTACGGTTATGACTCTGCTCTTCCTCCTGTCTCACCAACACTAATGCTGCCTTCTCACTAAGGCAGGTGAAACTGCGAGCTCCACACACCTGGCGACTTCTACAAGAGCTGCAGCCAGGGGGAAGGAATGGAGGTGGCTCATCAGAGAGCAATCCAGAGAGGATGTTAACATTCACAGGTGGTTCCCTGGAGAGTGGGGGTCTCTATGTCCTAGGTCCCATAACCCCTGTGCCTCACCCTCTCTGACCGGGGGTTCCCTGGAGAGCACAGTGACTTCTTGGCACACCGGTCCCTGCCTGACAAGGTGACCGGAACCACCCCCTTGGCAGAGTCTCTTGTCACAGAATCAAAAGCCCTAGCATTTGAGATTTCCCACACTCATCTTCCATCCACTGAACTACTTCCTCTTTCCCTGTGCAAAGGGGTCCTGTGTACACGAGGTGTCCACTGTTGCTTTCTCCATTTAACTAGGTGGATACTACCAAATACTTTATGTTCTTACATCCAAATGCCTGTGTGCTGTATGACACCACTGTTAAGCAGGTCCTCTACGGGGAACCCTGTGGTCTGAAAGGGTGATCACAAAGCCAGGAGGAAACACAATGTAACGGTGACCCACAGATGAAGACAGGCAAGGAGATCACCAAAGCTCTAGGGTGTGCGCTTCCATACACGAAATCTCTTGGAAGTAATCAGAAGACCTCAGGTTCTGTAATACCCACCAGTGAGGGGTGGATGGGCTGTTACAGAGGAAGCATGGATCAGCAGGGCATTGTGCTCACTATGGGCTTTTTCCTCCCCATTCCCAGATACATACAATAGGAGTCTCTGCCCCTTGAGCAGGATAGCCAAAGACCAGTGGTGACTCCCAAACAGTCTTAGCCACTCACAGCACTCTCCTCTTTGGGCCATGCTGGGTCTAGGGGTAGAAAAGTGACCCAATTCTGGCTAACAAAATGCAAGAGGACTCCAGATATTTCTTTCCTCAGATAAGGCAAAATTCCCCTTTCCCTGTTATTCTTCAGGTTCGGATTCTGGGATGTGAAGATACAACATTTGATACCTCTGTTGCATTTTGTGAGTCCAGGGAATCAATAAGACAGCAGAATCAGCCCCAAAAACACTTTCTTTAAATGAACCTCAGGATGACAATAGCCCCCTCAAGGTCCTAAGCACCAGAAATTCAATTCTTATAGGTACACTAGTACTGTGTTAACTGAGAAGCAAACTAAGATTGAATGCAACTTTATTATGTCCCAAAGATTACACAACTAGCATTGGGAAAGATGCAGTTTGAAATGGCAGTCTTCCTGTTTTGCTTTACTGCTCAGGGTTTTTCAATCTTGGTGCTACTGATATTTGGCAGAGACAATTCTCTTCCATGGGAACCACCCTATGCATTGTAGGCTGTGTAGTGACACCCATGTCACTGCTCACTAGATGCCTAGAGCACATAATTCCCAGTCTAGACAACTCAAAACATCTCCAGGCACTGCTAGATGTCCCTGGGGACAATAAAACCCCATCCTCCTCCTTTGCATTGGAATTCTTTGCTTTTTCCTTTGGTGTGGTCTGAGATAAGGGGGCTTGAGATAAAGAGATGTTATCAATATTCCCTTGTCAGTTACATGCTTGGGAAAATGATGAGCTAATAAGAATGACACACAAGAAGAGGGGAAGGAAGAATTGGGTGTAAGTGATAGTGAGGAAGAGGGATGAGGCAGATAAAATAGACCAGAAATAGTCATATAACACTGGAGAGAAAGAGCGGCACTGGCACATGACTCATGGGAGCAGGAAGCCACTGCAAACAAGAAGGTGGCTTCAGCTCGGCCAGGCTGGGGCAGCTGCAGACTTTGCAGGGTGTCTTCAACCCAGCATGGCAGCTGGTTTCATTCTGTTTGGGGCAGAATGAACATGCAGTCCTGAGAAGCTTGGCATCATGGGAGAGGGCTCTGGACTTCATTTAGCCGTGTGCTTGTTTTGACCCTGAATATATTACTTTGAGACTGCCTAGAAAACAGGACTATGAATTGTGGAGTAAGCTATGTGGCTTTGCTTTTTTATTCTTACAGTTTCTAAGCTTTCCTTAAACAGACATCAGAAATAAAGTTCCATGCACTGGGATTATAGAGCAGTGATAGAGCGCTTATGTAGCACACATTGGCCTTAGGGTCAATGCCCAGCACGAAGGGAAAACGAGGAGGAAATAAGAAATTCAGAATAGACTTCCTACATTTGCATTTTCTTCCAGATTACTGCCAAGTGACCATCTGTTTGGAGTATGTGCTTTACACTATTAAATATTAATACACAGTAAAGGATTTTATCAGTGGCATACATGCCAAGGACCGTTATTCATGCACATTAACTTCTTGAGTTTCTATCATGTCCAAGTAATTATGTTTCATTTTGAGTCTAGATGGGATGTGCAATTTTCTTTAAGTGACTTTGTTGTAAAAGACCTAAGAATCAGGATCTCAACAAGGTGATTCTTTAGGTCCTTCTATCTGAGAATCTCAAAGAAGTGAGAACCATATAATTTAACCCCTAATTGTTTAATGGCTAATTTCCCTCCATCTAGGAAATAGTGAATAATTGCTCAGGGCTACCTAAGGGAGCTCCAATCTTGGTTCACAAGCATAATTCATAACCCTTGATTCATTCCTGTTCAGGTAGCTAACTGTCAACCGACCAAAGTTTTAGACACACAGCTGAATGCAAAAGCCCCTAGAACACACCCGTATTTTCTAACTGTACTCTAAGCATTATTCTTATGAATAAATTGAAATACTATATTTTATATTTGGACTTATTTTTCAGAATTAACAGAAATCTATTTTCCAAGTTTCTTATACTTCCTGCCAGAGACTGCTACAAAACAGAACACTGGATGTAGTCCTCAGAAAGCCTTTTTTTCATGCTATATTCATTTGATGTCATCCCAAAGCCTAGCTCTACAAATGAGCTACAAGGAAAGACGGCGGCTCTAAGACTCAGCTAGAGTGCCCTCTGGCCTTGGATAGGATGGGTAAATGGGAACAAACTTGTGCTTCTGAGCCCCAGCTCTCTCAGCAACAAAATGGAAGCAATAATGAACATCCAGTGAGCTGACTCCTGGGGAGTCTCCCGGGGAGCACAATGGTCGAGGCAAAATTTCTCCTTAGTTTCTTTTTCTTTCTAGATGGTTAACTTCACCATGAAATGCAGAAATATTATCTTTTCTGCTCTCTGAGCATAATGTGCAGAGTGACACACTGGGTCAACCATCCACTTATCAGCCACTGCTTGGAGGGACACTGGGAAGTGACAATAGCATTATCCTGCAGAAGACAGGAAGTCAAACACTCAGGGTTTAAATCCTGGCTCCTTTCCTAGTGAGCTTCCAGGAAACCCCCTTAGGTTCCAGCTATGAGGTTGCCATGTAAGTGAAGGCTTTGAATTTGTTTACGGACAAATTCTCCTTTCACCCAAAGATGCTCATTATGCAGAAGTCTGAGAGGATTCCTGACACTGGGAGACTTCAGCTATTTATTTGGTCTAGGCATTCTGCTCACCAATGTTAGATATATTTTGGATCAGGGACTCATCATACAGTGTGGTAAACCAGTAATCCTGTATCTCTAAAGGATTTGAATAGCATTCATGCATAAATAAAACCCAAACAGACTCTTAAGACTACACCATACTTGTTAAATAGTGTTCACATTACAAGTTATGCAGGGCATATATATTACTCTCACTGGTCTACATACGCCAATTTAGATCTTGCTCATGTATTTCAAATCTTTTAAACTGAGAGTAATGTTCTCAATTACTATTTTATAAGCCAGTAAAATGTTGTTCAATATGCCACTGAACTACTGTCCTGGACTGTAGGAACTCATCAATTTTAAACATGGTATAAGTAATATTTAAAAATAGGGATTTCCTATTGGAAAATAAACTTTAAATCTCCAGGAAGGTTTCTTTGGGAGTCCCCTCTCCAACTCAAAGTCTCAGGAAAGCATAAAATCTACAGCACAGTTATGGATAGAATGCATTTCCGCAAAACTTCAAGATTAACATGGAAGTAAATTACATTTTAAAATTATTATTTAAAATATCTAAGACTCTTTTACATTAGTGCCAGTAATTCTCAGCTAGCTCATCTAAGAGATTTTTATAAAACGCTATCTAACAAAATAGTAGCAATTTTATCACTACTATTACTACCACTAGCATTGCTATTATTAGTAATAATGGCAACAATATTTTATTTTCCTCCTTATAATAGTAATTTTAATAATATATCATTTCTAATTTCCTAGGTGGGAGTGCATATAAATTAGAAAAGTATGTTTTTTGTTTGTTTGCCCTGAATAGGGTGGTTCAATATTTACTGTGGACTTCTTCACACAGTCTTACTTGATAAATACTATGTTGATATTTGGACACATCCATCAGGTGAGAAGAGAGAGAAAGAGCTCTGTGTAATGAAATCACCTTCTATCAAAGGAAACAGACTTTGCTATGAGTGCCAGACACACAGAGAAGCCACCTCTCAGCTCTGCTTTTGAAGTACCAGGGCAAATCCATACTGCTTCTGGCTTTAATAGAAGCTGCCCTCTTTTAATCTGGAACAACTCTCTAGTCACTTCTAAACATTAGATCCCTCGCTTTTCTTTTTTACTCTAGAAAGACACAAGATAAGGCTCTATCTTTTGCCAAGTGGATGAGTGTAAATTTCCCTTAAAGTCATTAGCATATCTTAGATATTCCCTCATACAACACCGGGTGTCTGGGATTAATGATCTCATGCCTTAAGAACAATTTTTTACCACTAAAATTACAAGTCCATCTGTAGGAAGATATACTCATTCTTCTAAAGATGCTATCTGTATTTGGAGCCATGTTTACATCTTACACATTGTGTTTTATTTTCTGCAAAGCGACAACTTTGCACAGTGAAAATGCTCACACATAAGAAGTGAGTTAGCAAATACAGCAGAAGTTTTCTAGGTATTTCCAAGAGACATGGCAAAAAATTTCCCTTCTAGAAGTAAAGACCCAGAGTTACATAATCAGAGATACTGACAGTCACTGCATTGGGAAGCCTTTGGAGGCTGAAGTGCGGGTGTCTACACAACAGAGGCCCCTTCATAGGAAGGAAGACCTCTCCCACCCACCGTGCCTGCTCTGTGAAAAGACCCTGCTCTTCCCAGCTCCTGCCTTCCTCTCTTCAGCCTGCCTGCTTTCCCAACTTCCGGTCCAAGAACAAGCTTCATGATCATGTAGTTCAGATCAAGGAGAGGGCAGGTTCCTCAAGAGAAAACGCAGCTCAGATGTCTCAGGCAATTCTAAGTTTTGGGGGAAAGGCAAGGGCTTCATTCGAGGATGTGCAGCTTCTCTTCCCACCCGCCCTGCAGAGCTATGTCCACACTGCCCTGTGGAGATCGCCACTGTGTTTAGGTGACTTTGAAACCTTTCAGATACATGCAAGTTCCTAGCTGTTGTTCTCATGCTACAAGGACAGATGGAAGAACTGGGGATCACTGGATGAGGAGCTCATAGGCAGACAGAAGGTGGTTAAAAAATGAGGACCCAAATAAATAGATAAAGGAAACTAGAGCTTGCTTTGTTTGGATTTGGGGTCAGGCTCTAAGTTCGGGCGGGTTTCTGCTCAACCCTCCGGGTTCACCGTGGGAAAGCACTCAGGCTGTTTCCCCTAAGCCTGTCTGTGGTCTCCAGCAGGGTCTGTGAGTCTGCCCCACATGGGGTCAAACTAATATCCTTCTATTTACCCTTTCGAGTCTTTCTTTATATCAGCTATGGCACTCAAGGGGGATGTATGGGTGAGGAGTTTTCATTTTATTAGTGCTAAAAGGGCTGAGGAGTTCACACTAACTCTGCAGAGAAAAACTCCAAGCGTAGGTCACAAGGCACTGTATTCCAAGATCAAATGTGCAGTGGTTTTAAAACAGTGCAAGCAGACACAGGGTGTGTGACAGCGTCCTGGGTGGCCCTTGGACAAGCTAAGTGTTAAGAGTTTCAAAAAGGCAGCCTAGATTTGCAAGGCTCTGGGGGAAAGCTGTGGGGTGTGGCAGTGCAGTGGTCAGGAGGACCTGGCTCCTGGCAGTGGCATTTCCGGAACCTGGGCAGGGCAGAGAGGGGCGTACCGGGCAGGTGGAGAGGCTCTGCTCCCACTGCGTCATGCTGAGGCTCTCCTCCAGGCTGGTGCACTTGTTCATCACGACGTCCCAGCCACAGTAAGGGTCCTGGGCCCCGATGCAGGTGCTGGAAACACACGGCAAAGGGTCAAGAGAGGCAGCTTTAACCATGAGTGACATGCAAGCCAGGGCCAGCCTGGCCCTCGTGCCACAGCTCTTATCACTAGTGATGCTCATTTAGCTCTCTGCACACGCCGGTGTCTAGTTAACAGTCCACTTCTTGTTTTGATTGAATTATCTACATTGTTCTTAACATACAGGTCAGAGAACTAAGTGTGCTGGCAGGAACACTTAGGTGACGTGAATGAAACTCGGATCAATTTTGCAAAGCTCAAAAATCATAGCTGTCATCACCATCACCCCCACCACACCCATAAGTAACAGGTAAAATTTGTTGAAGTTTTGCAGATGAAACTAACTCCGATATTATCCAGATGTATAACTGTGATAGACGGATATTAGTGTTTTTATTTTATTTTCCCTGCCAGCAGCACCATCGTAACTATCACCAGCACTTTATTGATGAGTTAACCAAGACATAGAAAATCTGAAAAAGTGCTACAAAGTACATTGAACATGTAGTTGGCTTTAATTAATTATAATATGGACACCTTCACTTCGAGCACGGGAACTTAAACATGTATTTACATTTTAATTTAATTGTAGATTCATTCAGCTACATCTAGAGTATTATATCAGAACTGTTACACAGTGATTATTTTATATACAAGATGGACAATGCTATGTAAAAGACGTTGGCCCCTACCTCACAAACAGAGTCACAGGGGGAGAGGAAGAAGTTGATTACTGAGAGAGAGCCCAAAATACACAGGAGACATCACAGACAAAGAGAGAGTGAACATCTGGAAACCTTCTGAAGGGGCCAGCACACCAGGCCGTGGGAAACAGACATGAAAACCAGGAGGTCATGCCCGGGAGGAAGCACTGATGGTGTCTTCTTAGGGGTGGGATGCTGACCACAGGAGGGAAACCACCACAGAGCTATCAGCTCACCAGGAGGAAGACGAGGGTCACACTAACTGATGCACAGTAGCATGGGAAGGTAGCATAAATAACTTAATAATGTAAAAGTCACAGTGAACACATTAATATGTTAACCACACATAAAGCACTGGTCTAGGAACTCAGGCCATTTAACCCCCCAAACAAACTTATAAATACAGCATTTCAGTTCAAAACTACGTTTTATACTTATTTTAAGATGAAGAAACTGTAGTAGAGATCTATATCACTCTTACACATCTAAGGGAGATAAAAACCGAGAGAAAGAGAGAGTTTCAAGACTATCATTTATTAAATTATTATATTGCTACCATTTATTAGCTATCTAAAGGAATCAAACATAAATGCTGAAAAAAGGCTGTTTTCCAGTAGTAGAGCTGAGCTAGCATGAAACTTATTAAGAAAGGTGATTTCCCTACAACCTCAGAACTCTGATAGGGGCCATGTGCATCCACTTATTTTTCTGGTCAAATTTCAAACAAGACAGTTATATAAAGGGCAAAGTAAAAGCCTTTCTTCCTCAGGGATAGGTACAGTTCTTGTTGACCTAAATGTTCTGAAGATATTACTCTCTATATATACAAGGCTGCATGTCTCTTTTATGTACATTTTTACATGCACAATGTAACTTTTCAATTATTGTTCAGATGTGATTATATGACACAGCACAGATAATATGTCATAATGTGCATACATGTACTTATATGTTTGGCATTATGTTCTGCTGTTCGCACCTAATTATATATCAGCACACTATCATCATCAATAAAGATAGTCTTTATTCCATTTGTTGGTTATACAGTCTCCATTTTATGGACAAAACAATACTTATTTGAATTCCTACTTTAAAAGCAAGGCAGCAATAGCTTATCTTGGAATACGGGTGATACATGATAAAATCCTGAACTGATGAGTTAGGAAGTTTGAGTATTACTAATTTTGCACCAAGTATCACGGTGGGCATGCTTCTCTTAATTCTTTCATTGTCAAATATTTTGATGTGTCTCTTTGTAGTAGAAAGGAGAAGAGAATTTGTTAGCGGTCTGCTTTCATTTCCCGAAGCTCTGAGTGAGGGCAGAGCACGGCATGTGTGGGGGCACTTACTTGTCTGCCATTTGTCTTTCTGGTTGTGTACCCTTCTCCCCATATCCAGTCCCTATTTGCTTTTTCTCACGTGTGACTGGCTTTTCACATGGCAAATGAAATCACCCATTTTTTAAATAAAATGTAGCCCTCTTTGAGTAATGTGGTCTCTGTCATCAAATCTTTTTCCATAGGATACTATTGTTATAAAATTCCATGGGTTAAAGGTTGCAAATATTTCCTTTTATAGCATCTAGATTTTGTGTTCCATATTTGGAAACATCTTCCTCACTTAAAAATTATAGAGGAGTTTCCTTAGCCTTTTCTATTATGCCACTTTATTTTCCTACTTGAGACCCATCTGAAATCTATTTTAATAAACTGCCTTTTCTCATCTCAAAAAATACATACATATATTAAAATCTGAAATTCTCAAACTTCCATCAACACAAATAAACTCATAATGTTAGGATTAAGAACAAGGAATATAAGTATGGTTTCTTATTCCCCTTTTTCTTAAATTCAGATACAATATGCTTCATAGAGAGTTTTATAACAGGGAGTGTGAAGATCAGATTTTAAGATTCTCTAGCTTTTGAAATTTGGATACATAATTTCAATAAAAAATTGATTTCAGGGACTAACATTTAATTTCTATTTATAAAACATCATCAAAACTTGGAAGTTCTGACATACATAAGTGATTTAATAGAATCATGTATGCAGTGGTATGTGATGCGAAAATAAACTATTGTAACCAGTGAATGTGTAAGAGTGTGAGAAGTGTACAATCTGTAAAAGCCACAATTGCGGTGGTGAAACTATGGTGGACATATGCATTGTTTTCCTTTTCTTGAGGAGTGTAACTCTGGGTTCCACAAACACCTCCCTTACTTTTCCACTGTAAATTTTTATTTTAGTGTAATAGTAGTTGACTATGTCTCAATATCTTTTTTGAGGGATATAGGAAGCAATCTTCGCATGTGTACAAGGTAAAGTGTGTGCACATGTGTAAAAGTGTCCAACCAGGATTTTCACTGACAATATGCTCTCTCTAACCAATTTGGTGTATGTTTATCTGAGAATCAGAGGGGGTGTAATCATACCCATATCATTCTAGGATGTTTTTTAAAGTTTTCTTTTGATTTTTCTGGTAGTAGGCCAATTCAGTACACAATGGCACATGAAAAACCAGATTTGCAAGTTTTGGTAGAAGTTGAAAGTGAATCAGCAGATTTACCATATATGGATGATGAAGATGACCTATTGTGGTAAAATGCATGTCTTCAAAACAGAAGAATGATGAGGGTGTATGGTGAAGACGATGACAATGATGACAATGATGATGATGATGATAACTCTGGCCATGTGCGCCAAAGTTCCTGTGTCAGTGAAACGAAGCAACAATTGACTGATACAGACACAGGGAATGCAGACCGCCTTGATCCAGATGATGAAGAAAACAGCAATGTGAGTACATATTTAAGTAGTTGAAATGTTGCAAAATGGTCATGCAACGTAATGGAATGACCCAGTGTTAGTACTAGATCCAAAAATACAGTGAAGTTCTTGGCAGGGGTGAAATGCATTGGACAGAATGCCAGCACTGCCATTTAAAGTTAGAAATTGTAACAGATGAAATGCTTTAAGATGTTGTGAAACACACAAAGGCTAAAATACAGATAAAAATTTTTGCACGCACCAATAGCCATATTAAAAAATGTATCTATTATGGCACCTCACTGGCAGAACTGAAAGCATTCACAAGTCTGATATACTTAGTAGGGATTTCTCAAGGTAATCACAAGAATGTAAAAGACTTATGGAAAAGTGATGAATCAAAATACGACATAAAAATTTATTTCCTAACCAGGCATGGTACTACATGCCTGTAATCCCAGCACTGGGAAGGCTGGAGACAAAAGGATCTCTATGAGTTTGAGGTCAGCCTCAGCTACATAGTGAAGTAAAGGCCAGCCTGAACTGCATAATGAGATGTTGTGTCAAAAAAAGAAAATGTACTTCTTTGTAGATGCAAAGACTCATGATTTCAATTTAGGGATTTATCCTGTAACTAGCCACAAATCCTTATTCATACAGGAATAAATTAGATGGTATTATGAACAGACTTGTTTTCATCTCTCAAATTAATCTGAATGTGTCATTGGGCATTTGGTTTACCAGTTTCTGATTCACGTTATATGTGCTAACAGTGCACAAGTTGACCAGGTCAAGAATTGTATGCAGGAAAAAAACAGAAATTACAAGTGAAATGTTATAATTTCAAAACACAGCATTGTATATTACAATCTTTGGATTTCAGAAAGATTTACATTGGCCTTGTATGCGGCACTCAAAAACAAAAAGGTACTGCTGATGTCAACATTGCACCACAATGGAATGTTAATAGGAAAACAATGATAAAATGGAAGCCTGAGATGATAACTTTGTGCAACAAGACAAAGGCAGAGTAGACATTGCTGATGAGTTATGCACAACTATGATGTCACTTGAAACATAAAACATGGGCCAAAGATTGTATTTTATTCAATACTAAACATGTGTGACATAAGCAGTTTGATGGTTTACAAAGAAAATAACAAATGCAAAATACTACAGATAAATTTCCTTAGAGGACTGTGACTGAAACTCATAAGAGATCATTTATAGCAGAGGAAAAACAATATTTGTGCATGGAACGTGCAATTTTCATGTGTGATGACTGCCTTTGGTTTCATAGTCCAAGCAAAGATTATTTTTGTTTGTATAGTTCTATTGGTATTTTCACTGAAGTTCACATAGGTTTTATTTCTGATGTAATCTCAGATTTTGGAAGCAAGTACACAGTTAATGTGAAAATACTGATGTCTATTCTAAGCACTCACTATATATTTGATATTTTATTTTATTGATAGCATGTTAAATGCACATTATACAGCAGAGCAGGGAGCTCCAGGTGAA